ATTACTTAAATAAATAGAAAGCACTAGTAAACAGTCACTTAAGATCTTCCTCGTATTTGAAAGCTGAGGGTTTGAGTTGAAGAAGACAGCACAGTGGGCAGCACAGAATGTTTAGGAATTAGCAAAACTCATAGGATGAGTCTGAAGCAATACTTAGAGGAAAACTGAGAGTCTTAAAAGCAATTATCAAAATAAGAGAATGACTAAAAATAAATAAGTGTTCATCTTAAAAATCTAGAAAAAAGATTAATAGAGTAAACGAAAGAGAAATTGAAAGCAGGAAAAAATGATGCTAAGAGCAGACATTAATGAAACATAAAACTAAAATGCCAAGATAACAAAATCCTAAAAAGCTCGTTCTCAATAAGGCTAATAAAGTAGATAACTTTATAGCAAGACTGATAAAGAAAAAAAGCACAAATAAAAAGTATAGCCCAATGCAACAGACTAGTGAATATAATGAAAGAGAAGCAGACTCACAGATAAAGAGAATAAAAGAGTGGTTACCAGTGGGGAAAGGGGAGAGGGGAGGGGCAGTATAGGGGTAAGAGGTACAAACTATTACGTATAAAATAAGCTACAAGGATATATTGTACAATATAGGGAGTATAGATGTATTTTATAATAACTATAAATGGCATATAACCTTTAAAAATTGTGAATCACTGTATTGTGCACCTGTAACTTACATAATATTGTACATCAACTATACTTCAATGAAAAATATTTGTTTTGAAAGTATAGCCTAAAAGGGAGATATAACTACAGAAAAGGGAGATGTTTTTAAAATCCCAAAAGAACATTATGGCAACTTTATGCCAATAGCTTTGAAAACTTAGATGAAATGTGCACTTCTATAGGAAAACATCAGTTACTTAAATTAGCTCAAGAAGAAAAAAGAACTGGATAGTTTTATAACCATTAAAGAAATGGAATCCCTAGTCAAAGCTCTCTTCCTGCCTTCCTGCCTCCTGCCCAGGGCTCGGGGAGTTATAAGGTGAGTTTTGCCACACCTTTAAGGAACAGATGATAATGGACTCAGACACTTCCAGAGAAGGGAAGAAACCATTTCATGGGGCTAGGACAACCTTGACCCCACAACCCGGCAAAGACAATGTAAGGAAAGCAAAATGCAGACAGAGTGTGAGCTCTGTCAACCAAAAAAACTACAGGAGGCTGCAAATAAGAAGTGTTTTGGGGTCTTAAGAACTGCAATTCAAGAGACACAGATTTGGCTAAAATAAAGAGTGTCCTGGGGAAGAGAAAGAGTCGGGGGCTTGTAAGGCAAAAGCCACAAGGCTGTGCTCTGACACAAGAAGGGAAATGTGTGTCCTTCAAGGATGGCTGTCACCAGGCATTTTAGGGTAGGTGTCTGATAAGTGTCTTGAGTTTCTGACAGATGTTCTGGAGGCCTGCATTAGGACATTAAGTGGTCAAAAGGTCAGACTCCATCCAGGCCTCCTGGCTCCATTTCAGAGAGCTCTCTCCTTCCACAGATCTGTGAGGCAGGGGCTTTGTTTTGTCTACTGAAGATCTCAAGTGCCTGAAGATTGCCTGACACACAGCAGGCAGGCACTCTTAAGTGTCGACTCAGTGAAGGTAGATGCAAATAGTCTGAAATAGAATATTCAAAAATCAAATCCAATTGTGTATAAAATAGAACCTCATGGCTAAACTGTGCTTATCTCAGTAATACAATAATTTGTCAATGTAATTTCCTGATCTCTACAGTTTAAAAGAGAAAAATAAGCATATCAATAGATTTAGAAAGATAAAATATTGATATTATGATGAAAAACATGTTATACAAAGAACTTAAAATACTGAGGACTCAAAAAAAAACCCAAAACAAACCCACAGCTAGTTGGATGATAGCTAATATGGATGGGTTTCTTTTTTTTTTTTTTTTTTTTTTTTTTTTTGCGGTACGTGGGCCTCTCACTGCTGTGGCCTCTCCCGCTGCGGAGCAACAGGTTCCGGACGGGCAAGCTTAGCGGCCACGGCTCACGGGCGCAGCCGCTCCGCGGCACGTGGGATCCTCCCAGACCGGGGCACGAACCCTTGTCCCCTGCATCGGCAGGCGGACTCTCAACCACTGTGCCACCAGGGAAGCCCAGGTTTCTTTTTTGAAGAGATGGAAATAAAATTCTAAATTCTGAATTCTAAATTCTGAATTTAGAATTCAGTTCTAAAATGGACTGTGGTAATGGTTGCACATATTTGTGAATATACTAAAAACCATTGAATTATACACTTCAAATGACTGAATTATATAGTATGTTAATTATATCTCAATAAAGCTATTATTTTACAAAGACTGTAGCAAACATCACAGATAAAAGATTGTTGGTGGTTAGTTTTATGTCAACTTGACTGGACCATGGGGTGCCTAGATGAAGCATTATTTCTGGGTGTGTCTATGAAGGTGTTTCTGGATGAGACGAGCATTTGAATTGGTGGACTGAGAAAGCAGATGTGGAAGCCTCACCCAGTCCACCGAAGGCCTGAGTAGAATAGAAGGGCTGAGTTAAGGGAGAGTCCACTCTTGCTGCCCGACCATCTTTGAGCTGGGACATTCGTCTTCTCTTGTCTTTGGACTCAAGAGTTGGGCTGAAACTTACACCATTGTCTCTCCTTGTCAGCTGTGGGTCTTGGGACTTATTCTCCATGACCACAAGATATACCCAGACATCTCCCCTTGGTTCTGTTTTGCTGGAGATCCCAGACTAATACAGATTGAAAGCATAACCAAGGATATCTAGTATTCAGGCAATTGAAGTCAATGTAATAAGAAAAAGAAAGAGGCAGAAGGACTGGAAAGGAATAGACAAAATAGTTATTATTTACAAATGGTGTGATTATTTACATAGAAAACTCAAGAGAATCCATTAGAAATAATAAGAGAATTCATTGTTGCTGAACACAAGATCAACATAGGAAAAATAAAGCTTTTCTGTGTAACAGTATAATTCAATTAGAATATTCAATTAAAATGAAAGATTTCATTTACAGTAGTAACAAAAGCTATGTTATCCAGAAATAAATCCACCAAAAATATGCAAGACTTTTACAGGTGAAATTATAAATTGTTATTAAAAGACCGAAAGAACTGAATACCTATGTTTATAAACGGGACACCTTACTGTGGTAAAGGGATCCGTTCTCCCTAATTTAATTTGTGATCCAAATGCCAACAGAACTGCTCTTGGAATTCAGCATATTGATTCTGTGGCAGAGTAAATGGCCAAGAATAGCCAGCACAGTTCAAGAAGGAGTGATGTGCCCTCCATGTGTCAAGACTTATCATAAAGCTACAGTAATGAAGATTGTGAGGTATAAAGACAAAGTATCGAAGAACAGACTGGAAAGCCCAGAAACGTCCCCAAGCCTATGTAGGAAGTTGGTCATATGAAAAAGATGGCATTTTAAATCAATGGGAGGGGGATGGGATGGTCAAAAAACGAGCCTTCTGTATGGAAGAAAAGTGGGTCTTCATCCTCAGGTGTGCACAGAGCAGTAAGCACAAGCCCTAGTTGGATTAGAGACCTAAAAGCCAAACTTTAAAATGTTTTGAAGAAATACAGGAAAATTATTTATGACCTTGGGATGGAGAGAGATTTCTTAAGGGGCAAAAAGCAGAAACCATAAAGGAAAAGACTGATACATTTGACTTCATTGAACTTCTTTATAATACAAAAAAATTAGTTAAAGGCAAAAAGGAGACCAGCAGAAGATTTTTCCAGTAGACACTGCAGATAGAGGACTAGTATATACAAGAATACTTAAGGAAGTCAGTAAGAAAAGGGGAGTTATCAGAAATCCAAGCCAAAGTGTTGAAAAGGCCACAGAAAGGAGATCTGAGCAGCCACTGGATGCAAGAGAAGATGTCCCGCCTGCCTGGCTCTTCCGTTCACCCCTCCGGCCGGGAGATATCAAAGGGTGTGACTGCGCTCAGTTTGGGACGAGGGTGTGAGGAAGACGCAGCCAGCGTTGCTGCTGGGACAGTAACTTGGGATAAACACTTTGGAAATGTCTCGTGAAGTCAAAGGTGTGCAGAAGCTGCGATCCGGCAGAGCCAGTTCTAGACAAACTTCATGCTCACAGTGGGACGCCCGGCAAAAACCTCGGACGCGCCTGTTGGGGAGGATGGGTGAGTACATGGAAGGAATCTATGCAGCACCTTCCACGAACAGTGGGTTTATACGTGTCCACCCGGGTAAACTTCAAAGATAAAAGAGTGAATGAACGGAATGATGATGTAGTCTGACACCTGCCCGTGCATGCTTAAAACACACATGGTGTATTTCATTTATAGGTGTGTGTGTGTGTTGTGTGGTGTAGGACCACAAAGACGGGAGGCCCCCCAGGTTGACGGTTGGGGTTGCCTGTCGAGGGTGATCGTGGGCAGTGGGACCTGATGCGAATATGACAAAATGTTAGCAATTTCCATTCTGAGTGGCAGACAGACGAATGTCTGTTACCTTATGCCCTTGTACTTTCCCCAAAATACAAGTGAAAAGGAGGCACGTGTTTCCCGATGGGGCAAGGACGGCATTTAGCCGCCCTCGTGGCCTGGACCCCCTGGGCCAGGGCAGGCAGGAGCCTGGAGGGTCAGAGGCCCTGTAGCTGTTGTCTGGCTGTGAGCAGCTTGCGCCCCTCTCTGAGCCTCAGTTTCCTCACTGGTGCAGCAGTGACCAGGCAGCTCTGGGACGTGGGAAGCTCTGCCATGGTCTCCTTGCCTTTGCTCACCTTTCTCTCCGGCTGGGAGCTCCCGTTCCATTCTTGGCAGAAACCCAGAGCATATTCATCTTATAAGGCCTGACCCAGCCCAGCAGCCATGTCCTTCTGGAAGTTTCTCTGGAGGCTCCTGGGCCACCTTGACCATCATCCAAGGACCTGTGTGTGCGCACTCGTGTGCCCATGGGCCCGTGGGTGCGGGCGTGCGTGTGAACGCGGGTGGCTGTGGGGACATGCCCCGGCTGCTCTCCTGCCCTCTGCAGATCCTGACTGGGGAGGACTGGAACGCGGTGATGTACCATGGGATCGAATCGCAAGGTGGAGTCAGCAAAGGCATGTTCTCCTCGGTTTACTTCATTGTCCTGACGCTGTTTGGAAACTGTATCCTTCTGCCGTCTGGGCAAGGGAGTCGGTGATTCCTGGGCCTGCTCTCCCCTCCCTCCCCAGGAGGACGGAGCCGGTGGTCGGCACGAATGAACGTGTGGGCGGCTTTCCCATGGAGGGTGGTGGGCCGTGATGCACCCCCGCCCAGGAGCAGCTTGAGTTACAGATGCAGCCTGAGGTCGGGCCGGGAGCCGAGGAAAGCGTGAGCCGCGCGTGGGGTGTCCCGAGGCAAGCAGCGAGGTCAGCGGCGGGAAGACGTGGGCTTTGAGCCTGAGGGCAGCCATCTATTTTGTTTTCACTTTAATTTAATTCAGTAATTAAGTTGTGGCTCTGGGCTTTTAAAAAAACCTTCGCCCGTGGAAATGCCCCACCTGCGGAGAAGCGCAAAGGAAGGTCTTGTGCGGAGGATGCTCCTCAGGCTTGCGTCTCAGGGTCTGGGGTGCGGGACTCTGTGGGGTCAGGGCAAAGCCCAGCCAGGGCGGCTGTGCCTCAGGCCCCCTGACCGTGCTACCCAGTTGGAGTGTGTCCCTGTGGCTGGGCCCCAAGGGGCATGGCCTTCGTCCTGCTCTCGGCATAGCGAGGCCTCTGAGGATGCCCACAGCTGTGGGCAGTGCCAGGAGGCAGCAGCCGACCTTGGCGTCCTGTCCCGTGGGCCCCACTGGGGCCCTGAGCAGGCCTGTCTATGAGGCACTGCCCTGGGATGTGGGTCCCCCCTGAGTCCCAGGGCACCTCCTTGCCAGACAGGGGGCCTGACGCACAGGGGTCACCCAGAGCCGACGGCTGCTTGAGCCTGGCACTGGCCCAGAGCCCCTGGGATAACATGGGGCCCAGGGCTGTCCCTGGGCGTCTGCCCCAGGACCAGCAGGGTCTGAGACGGTTCGGCTGTCACAGCTGAGGGGAAGGGGCAGCTGGCATTGAGCGGGCAGAGGACACCCCACGGCAAAGGACTGCCTGCCCGTCGTCAGTGTGCAGGGCACTAGGTGACCGGGAGGGCACCCGCCCGCGGGGGCCAGGGGTGTGCCTGGGTCTGCGGGGGCGGTACAGGGGTGAGGCACCGAGGGCTGGGGATGGGGCAGGGGGAGGGGGCAGCGCAGGGAGGACAGTGCTGCCTGGCGCTGAGGTTGGGAGAGGTGGCTCCAGTGACGGGAAACCTGAAGGGATTCAGGTCAGCGGCAGCGCGAGGGCCTGAGTCTGCAGAGTTCAGATGGGCGGGGCGGGGCCGTTGGGCCCCCTGACCCTGGGACCCTGGGGAGTTCCCTACCCTCTGTGGCCTTTGTTTCCTCATTTCTTTTTTTTTTTTTTTTTGCGGTATGTGGGCCTCTCACTGTTGTGGCCTCTCCCATTGTGGAGCACAGGCTCCGGACGAGCAGGCTCAGCGGCCATGGTTCACGGGCCCAGCCGCTCCACGGCATGTGGGATCTTCCCAGACCGGGGCACGAACCCGTATCCCCTGCATCGGCAGGCGGACTCTCAACCACTGCGCCACCAGGGAAGCCCTGTTTCCTCATTTCTGACTGGGGGCCATAGGAGCACCTTGTTGAGGCTCCTGGGGGCACAGTGGGAGGAGGCTTTGGAGGCGGCGGCCTCCTGCTGGGCACTCCCGTGGCATCTGCCATCCGCATGGTGCCCCTGCTGCTCCGGAGGAGGGGCACCTCAAGGGAGGGGTCCCAGGACTCGGCTTTGGTAAAGGAAGGTGGGAATGAAGCCAGGCACGTGTCCGTGAGCCTTGCCGGGAAGCTGGTCCGTCGGTGGTCTCTGCTCATGGGACCCAAAGGTGCCAGAGCCCACATGCAGCCTGGGCGCTTGTTGGGAGAGGTGGGGGCAGAGCGGGCAGCCCTTGTGCCCTCCTAGGAGGCAAAGGCAGATCAGTCCAACACAGCGCAAGCTTCCGGCCTGGAGCGTCGGCCCTGAAGAGGTGGCGGGGGGAAGGGGTGGTGTGGGCTTTCGAGGAGGCCGGGCGATGTGACATTGCATGAAGGAGGCCGGGTGGAGGCCAGGGGGCCGCAGGACCCAGCAGCTGGGCTGGGCTGTGTCTGGGGCTGATGGGCTGACAGGGCTGGAGGGCCGGGGGTGGGGGCATGTGGACACCAAGGAAGGAGGCCGAGGCTGCTCAGGCCCTGGGGAGGTGGGCCCCTGTGTTGTCAGAGGGAGCCGTGGTCTGAGCCTGGGAGAGGCTGTGGGTCGGAGGGCTTCCCTTCCTTAGCTGGAGCCGACCAGACAC